CCGCTGTAACGAGCCTCGTTAAGATCGCGGTAATATTCCACCCTCTAATTGCTCAGTCCATTCAGCAGATACAGCCGAGCATTGGCCCGCGCGCCTCACGTGCACGCTGCGGTGGGAGGGTTCGCGGCGCAGATCCGACTCCGAGATAACCCCCCGTGCGCGCGGCACAAGTGCTGAAAGCGTCGCAGCTACGTAGCGGCTAATGATTGGCACGCCTGACAGTGATTGGCAGGGCTGCCATGACAACGGCACAACGACACCGAGAAGACCAATAGAAAAGGGAAACAAAATGTTTCAATGCTACACTCAACGGCGGATTTAGGGGGAGATATTATGAGGCTGGTGTCATTAGGCGATAGCCATTGAATCATTCAATCTTTTTCACCTGCCGTATTTTCCCCGCTTTTCTCCATAATTTTCTTTCTCTCTCAGGTCATTCCATGGTGTTCAGATCTCCTTTAGAGCTTTATCCCTCCCATTTCTTCCTGCCCAACTTCGCTGATCGCCCTCTGCTCCTGGCGAACAGCGCTCCCTCCGCCAGGGCTCCAGAAGACTTGTCCATGTTTCAGCTACCGACCCTCAACTTCTCCCCGGAGCAGGTGGCGAGCGTCTGCGAGACGCTGGAGGAGACCGGGGACATCGAACGGCTGGGCCGCTTCCTCTGGTCCCTGCCGGTGGCTCCGGGAGCCTGCGAGGCGATCAACAAGCACGAGTCCATACTGCGCGCCCGCGCCGTGGTGGCGTTCCACACAGGGAATTTCAGAGACCTCTACCACATCCTGGAGAACCACAAGTTCACCAAGGAGTCCCACGGCAAACTGCAGGCCATGTGGCTGGAAGCGCACTACCAGGAGGCCGAGAAGCTGCGCGGCCGCCCCCTCGGACCCGTAGACAAGTACCGGGTGCGGAAGAAGTTTCCGCTGCCTCGAACCATCTGGGACGGCGAGCAGAAGACGCACTGTTTCAAGGAGCGGACGCGGAGCCTGCTGAGGGAATGGTACCTGCAGGACCCGTACCCGAACCCCAGCAAGAAAAGGGAACTGGCTCAGGCCACTGGACTCACTCCCACACAGGTCGGAAACTGGTTTAAAAACCGACGACAACGAGACAGAGCCGCTGCAGCAAAGAACAGGTTGGTGTTCGGGGAGCGGAGAAAGTTTCCAGTAAAAAGTGTCACATTCGGGACTAAAGAACCAGCAGAGAGTCGGGTTCTGAGCTGCAGTCACGTTAGGCAGAGGAGGAGTGACGGGGGAAGGAGCAGGGAGAAAGGCTGCGGCGACATTTTACTTTTTCTCGGGGCAGAACAAAGTGAAAAGACCTTAAGAAAAAAAAAAAAAAAGACCGTAAAATCCGCCGTCCGTTAACGGCACTCAAACGTCACATTTAAACAACGTTCAAAAACATCGACAATCGTTTCACTTTTATTTTTTGTTTTTTTACACAAAGTGCAGGAAAAGATTAAAAGTCCCAAAGTTCAGTGTTCGAGTGTAAACACAGAAAACGAACGAACGAACGAGTTTTTCCAAAATAACAAAATTAAACCGTCACTGACTTTTGTTTTATTTACCACAAAAACGTTTTGATGAAAAAAAAAACACTACAATTAATAACAACAACATCAACAACAACGGCGTTTAAATATCCTTTCAACCATTTTATTATTGTTATTATTTAAATTCTACAACAACTGAATTTTATGACAAAATGTAAATTTATTATTTATTGTTATTTCTCTTTTTATGTCCATCAGAATTCTATCGTCACATTAAAACAAACTCACCAGAACAACGTTACTTTATTTAACGTCACATTTGTATTTAAGTTGAAATAATTAAACAAATAAACAACTGTTTTTACTTTAGTCATGGAGGCGTTTTAATAACGTAATAACGTTTAAATAAAATAACATGGTGCTGTAGAAACACTGAACATTTGTCATATGCTGCGGTGCGGTGTGTTGTTTTATGCATTTATTTTTAATCCCTCCTTTTACTTAGCAGGATTATTTAAACGCACCACGGAGATATCATTGTTGTCATATGAGGAAAAAAAATAGAGAATAAAATAAAGCGCTTTAACAGACCGAGGTCTGTGTTCATAACGTGGAGTGCGGCGTCATCCGCTAAAAGACAATAATTGATTAAAGAGAAAAGTATGAGACACAGAGAGGCTGCTGTAATCTGTGACCGTGGCATTTATACACCAGCTGGGATGGTTTTAGGGATGGTTTTATTATATTGAAACAACTGGATTATTGTAATTAATTATTATTATTATTATTGTTGTTATTATTATTATTATTATTGTTGTTATTATTATTATTATTGTTGTTATTATTATTATTATTGTTGTTATTATTATTATTATTGTTGTTATTATTATTATTATTGTTGTTATTATTATTATTATTGTTATAATTTTATAATATTACAAATAACAATACTACTACTACTAATAATAATAATTCCGTCACCCAGTCACTTTGTATATATTTCTTTTAATGTTTTACATTTTAGTAAATACCAGTTCACACCAGCAGCACATCCTCCTCTGACTGTAATTTAAATCTACGTGTAGAACAACGTGTTCGCTTCGGTTCGCTTCTGTTCGGTTCGGTTCTGTTCGCTCAGCTGACGCCTCCTCCTCCACATTTGTGTGCTGTAAAGGCAGAAGTTCCTCTCACCCCTCCGTGCTCTGGTGCTCCTGTTGGAGCGGAATGTTAAAAACCCGCTCCTCTGATAAAAAGCACACACGCACGACGGGGGCCGGCAAAGGGGGGGAGAGAGGGGGCCGTGTGGACCCCCAAAAAGAGTGGACCAGAGAGGCGGGAGAGGGACGACTTTAAGTCCAACTACCATTTCTTTAATTTT